GGTGGAGTCTGTAAGGAGGGTGTACTTCACTTCTTATTTTAGACTGTGCCCTACTACACCTTAAAGGAAAGACCTTTGACTTTTTAATTTTAAAGCCATAGTTACTAGTTACATGAAGTTTAGCGTTTACTTATAAATCATACGATCATCTTATAAAATATGATGTAGCAGTGTATAGTAAAGCACCCAGCAGTATGTAAAGTATGATTGATTAACTGTTTGATTAACTAATCTATAATGATAGTCCAAGTATGTAATCTATATAATGATTTCACCATAAAGAGGACTTTAATTAATTTAATTTGAGTATGTTTTGTCGATACAACCGTTGTGTTTTTGTTTAATTAACATTTTCATTTCAGGACTTTTACTTGTAATGGAATATTTTTACTGCTTTTACTAAAGCAAATATTTTGAGTATTTCTTTCACCAATCGCCTACAGACTTTATATAAAATCTGGACCCTGGAAACAGTGTTTTATATCTGAGGACACTACTGTGTTTATCACATGTACTTGATAACGGTGAATTAAATTAGACTGATTCATGATGTGGATGACTGGACTTGACTACCAAAAGATCATTTTAAAGCATTTAGAAGATATGTCTGTGCTCTCACTATGAATTATAATTTAAGATCATATATGTTTGGACAATGCTCACACATGAAAAGTTAAAGCACTGAATACTCAAAATCATTTCAATTTTATTTCACAATTTAATTTAGTTGTTTCAAATGAACATTTATACAATAAAAGTTATTAAAATCATTCTTGGTTTAATACTGTGAAAGTGGAAATGTATCCATTTACTGTATTTAAAATATGTGTATATGTACATAAAATCTTTTTTTTGGTTTGTGCCTATTATTACCTCAAATAAAATATGAGTCATAATAAAACATTCTTGGTTCATCAATAATTGTGACTAGTTTTATTCCACTACAACTTTAATGAATGCCCTCTCTTGTTTTTTGTGGTTGGTGGCATTGATGTCATAATCAGGCGAAGCATCGGCATCATCTTCCTCATTTGGGTGTGATGAGACATCGACCAGAGAGGGGAGGCTCCCACCTCGCAGGATACCTTTGCCCCTCTGCAGAAGACTGTCGAGACCATCGCCCAACGAGCCCTTAAGAGGTAAATACTGTTTCTTCCCAGGAGTGTCTGCAGGCTGGTGAATCTCCAGGTCCTCTGCACTCATCCTGCAAATACGGCAGACATTTTAAGCTCAAGTCTTACCAGTGCTTGAGATTTTACTGGACTGTGCAGCAGCATATAAAACACACTGAAACTATACCTCATGTCAAAGGTGGAGCCTTTAAAGGCCGGTCTGAGAGTCTCTGCTGCTGTTGACAGAGTGTAAGGGATGGAGAAATGCCTCTGAGCCCAGTGCTTGTCCTTCACAATTGGAGCCAGGTTCTGGTACATATCATCTACAGCCAGCATCGACACCTACAGGAGAGAGAAAGCAGATAAGGACTCATATGTAAGTGTTAGGGAGTGTAACTGCAGTGGAGAGAAGCATTGAGGGGATTACCTGAATGTTTCGGTCAATCAGCTGGTTGGTTTCAAAGTCGTCATCGTCCTCGCCAAACGGATTGATGATCAGCTCCCCCACCTACAGAGAGGAAAATTAAATCACTCTTTCATGAAATCAAAAGAAAATCTTAAAACATGAATGTGTCGTCTGACCTTGAGCCAGCCAGTGTAGAAGAAGAACTGCATCAGGGTGAAAACAGGGACGTACAAGTCCAGGTTGTGGTTCTTGTAGCCCTTCTCAGGGTTCAGAAATTGTCGGCCAATCACGCAGAAGGCAAAGAAAGAGTAAACTGCTATAGTGACCACCTGCAAAGATAAAAACAAGGCCGGGATCAAGTCAGTTTTGTCATGAATTTTTGAATTTATTTGTATAAAAGTGGTAAAGTGTAACTGTATTTTAAGATACAGTAAAAATAAGTTTCTTCAGAGAAGAAGAAGTTCTTGTTCCTACCTGTGTGTAGACCAGAGGGATGCTTATCCAGTCATAATGGAACAGGAGGCTGCACTTGCCTCTGTAGTTATTCAGCTCCTGTAAATACATATCAAACATTCAGGATTTAATTTCCCACACTGTACATATATAATAAGTAAAATACAGCACTCACATCCATCAGCAGTCTCAGAGCGATGTCATCCCTCACCCGACCCTCCTCTCTCGCTTTGGACGCCAGATTTGAGAACCAAGTCAGAGGCATCCAGTACTTGTTGAAATCAGAGTGTAGCGACTCAAAATGTTTCAGCTCGTGTGTCGTCATAAATCCTGCACACAGATTAGACAGTTTGTGATATGAGGAGATTTATAATATGTTTATATATATTGCTGTTCCCTTATTGGCCCAGAGCTCCTGGCTCAGACTGACAGTGAGCAGGCTTTTACAGTCCGGACCCCTCAGCTCTGGACCTCCTACCTGGCGAATCTGAGGCTGCAGATTCAGTAACATCTTTTAAATCAGTTCTTAAAATGTATCTTTGTAACAATAAAGCTTTTTTTGTAAATGCTAGCACACTGTTTTATCTCCAACAAGCCTTATCTGTTTTGTTTTTATTATTATTGTTTTTATCTTACGTCATTGTTTGGTGTTTTATTCCTTTTTATGATTTTATTTGTGTCATTGCAAACCTGACATGATTTAATTCTGGTTCAACCATTTAAAGTACTTTGTAACTTTGTTTTGTGCTGTACAAATAATGTTTATTATTATTATAATAACATTTCCAGATAAGCGAATGTTAATCAGTGTATTTGACGTTAAATGGGGATTATAATTTACATTTTTGATGCTTAAAATCTTGGTTTCCCTGATAGGTTTCATTGTTCAGCTGTCTTATTGAATATTCTTACATCAATACTTCTCACTCATTCTTCTTCTCTTTTGTCTTTATATTCATATTTTGTGTTGAGGTGATCCAAAAGTAACGGAAAGTAATCAAGGTACCTTACTTTAATATTGTGATACTTGGATAAGTTTACAGACTACTTTTTTAACAGGTAATTAGTAATTGTATCAGATTACACTTTTAAAGTAACCCTCTGGTGTCTCTGATTATTCCTTGGCCGTACATGTTGTGAGTTTGGAAGGATAGATAGTAGTAACTGCATGGAAGAGAAGCATTGAGGGCGATTATAGGACCCCAATGAGTGTTTACGGTCAACTTGTTTTGCGCTCTGTTAGCCTTCAACAGTCGTCATCGTCTCAAACTCTGAGAGATCGGAGAGGCCTGCGAACCCTCACTCACTTGGACTTTTCTCAGACACAGCTCATGGCATTCTGTTCCACCTGAACTAGCTATCTAGTTCCCTGTGACCCAGCCAGCTAATTGCGTGCGCATAACAAAGGAACCAGGGGAGAAAGACAGAGGTAAAAGAATGGTAAGCTAGTGTGAGCATGATATGAAGTGAACTTGTAATGGTCCACGTTTCAGAGTTGTAGCTACATTCTATATAATTTACTGAGTCACCTGCTGTTTAGAGTGGGAGGGTGGATGTGAACGAGATGACGGAGGCGCTTAGTTCACTTCTCCTCAGCCACGCAGCACCTGTATCAGAGGGGTAAAAGCTTCGAAATGCTCACTTCTTCATATTTGAACTCAACCTGCGTTATAATCCAAATCTGTAAACACAGCGAATTGAATACGTCGATACACGTCGTCTTATTACCCACCAGTGTAGAAGAAGATGCTTAACTAAGGGGTAGTACACTCACGAGACGACGTACAAACAGATGCTGGAGTTCGGTTGTGCCTGTGTCAGGGGATTCAGAAGAATGTTCTCCGTCGTGGCCACAGAGGGTATCACCAGAAGCAAAGAAAGAGTACCGTGTGCGTGATGTCCGTGCTTGGTAAACCTCGTGCTTGATGAAGATGAGGTGACAGCATGCCTACCTGCAAAGAATAAAAACATGCGGTGCGACTCAAGTCAGTTTTGCATCTTGAGAGTAATATTTGAAGTATCTATGCCTCTTGCTACGTTACACTGTTCACATCCCAATAGATGGGACTAAAGTTGGTCACACTTGTTATAATCATTAAGATACGAAGTAAAAATAAGTTCTTCATCAAGTAAAGAAAGTTCATATTCCTACTGTTGTATGTACACCGAGGGACTGCTTATCCAGTCAATAATGGACAGGAGGCTTGCACTTGCCTCTTGGATAAAAGTTTATTTCAGCTCCTGTAAATACATAGAGATCAAACATTCAGGGATTTAATTTCCCACACGGGGTATTCGGATATAGAGGATAAGTAAGTAAATACGAGCACTATACAATCACTTAAATGGAACAGTTAGAGCGATGTCAGATCACTCTTACACACGTTCGAACTTACCAATCGCTGGCCTCTACACCTCTATCCACTTTTCATTGTCTGGCCACTCCCGATTTGTTTACGAGATCCTGTTGTCTATGCCACTCCGCAGTGTACTTTGTCTTGTAGATTATAATCGAAAGGTGTCACGCGACTCCATCTAAAGGTCGTGCTGCAGCTCGTAGGTGTCGTGCGGATAAATCCTTGACACACAAGATTAGACAGATTTGATGATATGAGGAGATTTATAATATGTGTTAGTAATAAACTCAGGTTGGAAAGAGGCATGATGCTGTGTGTTAGAAGCAAGTGGCTGGAGGGTGCAGGGCCGTTTCTCCTCTCGCCGAGAGCCTCCCCTCGCTAGGTCTAGACGTACAGTAGTAGCAAGTGCAGCTATACATGAGCATGCTCCGACCTGGGAGCTGTCAGTACGTGCTTTCTCTGCTGCTCTTGGCATTCTGAGGCTGCAGAATCAGCTAAATTCACTTACCACAAGATACAAGTTCATATGCAAGATGCTAGAATCAGGAACGATATTAGTAGACTAAATATAATATTATTTTTGTTATGTCTTAGCACACTGTATGATACTTATACATACTCCAACACTTATCTTGACTATATGTGTCTCTAATATCTCATATTCTATGTATAATTGTTTTTTATCCTTTCGTCTCGTCTGAGTTGTAATGGTGTTTGGATAATGTTGCGTTGTGATAATTTTAGCTTTGTTTGGCATAAGTCTATAACTGCATCGCTCTATCACATTATGTCAAGCCCATTTAAGAGCCATTTTTGATATTGGATTGTTCATTGCTGAGTCGTTACAACAAGGACACATGGTTTACTAGATTAGCCTTCTCAAGTATTGATCTGACATAGGGGAGTACGAATCTGTCCAGTCATAGCGATGAGGAGATGTTGAAGGGTTGTAGGTGTGGGATTTATTTTGATCTTTTTGTATTTACCACTGAAGGATGATAGTACTGAATCTAGAATTGTTTACCATTTTTTGTAGCTATATAATGTCTTCGTGTATAAGTCCCCGATGGATAAGCAGGCGCAGATCTAGTCATTTGCTATTTGAGTACTGTCTGGTTTTATTGAGAGTATTTCCTAGTGCATGTGCTTCTCTAAATTCACTTCCTGCTGCTTCTTCACTCCCAAGAGACATAGAAGATGTTGCTCATGGGAGTTTCTTCAAGCAGTGGGAATAGAGCTGTTCTGTACTTCATCTTTGTTTGCTTACTCTATATATATTCATATGCCCTGTTTGAGGTGCATCCAACGAACGGCTTGACGAGAAGAGACAGCCCATCAAGGTAAGAGTCTTACTGTGGTTAATATCTTCGCATTCGTTGGATCATAGGTTGGTTCGATCAATTACTGTTTTTTTAATACATGAATTTTCCTATAATTTCTGATTTGTGAATACAGGGTGCTTTTTATGGAGATAATTGGATACAGTTTGAAGCACTTACTTTTTTAAAAGGTACGTTAGTAATTGTATCTCAGATTACCTTTAAAGTAACCCTCCCACCTGTTAATTACACACATTTAAATCATTGCACTTTGCGAGAAAGTCCTTCTCTTCTTTGT